ATATATGAGACTCAATACGAGATCGCAAGTGAAATAACTCGTAAAATAAGTGACAAAACATTTGAATTAATAGTAAAAAAGTGTAGAAATATTACAAATATTGACGGCTATGTATCGGTGACTAGATTTGAAACTATTATCAAAGACTGCCATAAATTGCATTCACTTTATTCACGCGATTATATTTGTGAATTGAGTAAAAATCAGTTAACATTTGATTGTTTTATCACTAAATTTGCAAAACAATTACAATTCATAAAATGCAGAAATAATTTACTCACACAAACGAGACTCAAATGTTTGCCAAACTTAACACAAATTGACATTTTTGGCGACCAATTGTCTGTATTGAGTGGTAATGAAAATGAGATATTGTTTAAGAAATTACAAAAAGTTTGCTTTAAATACAACACACAAACTATGGATAGTTTTCAATCATTTGTGAGAATATATGGTAAACAATTGAAAGCAATTAGAGTGACGACTGACAACTGTTTGGGAGAAAACTTAATACTAATGAAAGGTTTGTCACAAATGACACAACTAATTGATTTCAAGATTTTGGGGTATAATAACAATGATAACATATCTTGGGATCAATTGAAACAATTAGCGATTAATTGCCCGAAACTCAAGAGACTATCGCTTGATTTGAATTGCGAATCAATCGACAATTATTGTAAAATAATCCAAACAATTAATGATTACTTCAAACAATTGAAACGTTTAGAAATTAGTGGATATTTTCCCAAAGAGTTTGTATTAATGAGTGAATCGTTGAATAAATGCAAACAATTAACACATTTATCAATCGGCCGTAAAATAGATTACTATCGGATAATAAACGACGAGTTTTTCACAAATATTGCCAATAATTTCCCGAAACTTAAATATTTATGCATTAATTATAAGAAAACAGAAAATATATTGAATTCGTTGTCATTATTGCCAAAAATACAGACCATTAGACTTTATACCGGCAAAGACTTCATCAAAACGTATGTCAAACCTCTCAACGATTGGAAATCAGCGAAAATTATTGGCGTTTATATTAACGATAAAAGTATATTAATTGCTAATTAACTGCATTTATAAAACAATTTGAAAGTTTTATTGTTAGAGATTAAACAGATGCTGATTATATAAATTATATGATTGTTATTACAATAAATCGCTGTTTATTATAGACTTAATTAATGATAATATTATAATTAATGCATTACATTTTGTATTTTAAAATTAAATTTTTACAATTATTTGTATAATTTGTGAGTATTGTTAGCGAAGACTAAACAAAATCGGTTCCCAAGACTTTCATTTGAAATTCATTTACTTTTTTAATTATTTCATTTGTAATTGTTTTCAATTTGCGACAAATAATACAATTATTATAACAAAATGGCTCTAATTTTGCATTTTTATGCTGTTTATAAACTTATTTATTTTTACATTTATTTACTAATTATAAATGATTATAAATTATTATTTATAATATTTGTCTGAACTACTAATTTGTGATTTAATTATTCAATTCAATTGATTTGATTCAATACTTTGTAAAATTTGATAATTATCTAAAATTTTATTGATTACTATTTAATAAATTATGAATTTGTGAAAGTTTTTATTCAATTATTTAATTTGTGAAGTGATTTGCTTTGAATGAATGAAAGTTTTATTTAACTTATAAATTATAAGTTATAATTAGTGTTGAAAATAGTTGTCAAAAGAGAGCGCCGTTTGTCTCATAACTATTGAATCATTGATTAATAAAGTATTGAAAGCATTGATTGTTTTGAATGTGTTTTTGAGTTCCAATTAAATCAACGGTTATTTTGTATGAATTTGATATTCAATGAGTAGTGAATCCAGTGTTGACTCGAATGGTGTGAACCAAGTGTTGGACACAATGGATATGAAGGGTAACGACGAGTCGATGGCCACCGAAGACAACGACAGCCAAACGTGGCATCAAATCACACACAAAGACATTACAATCCATCAAATGTTACAACAATTCAAAGCAATCAACACTTTGTGCCTAAAGTTACACACATTTCAGTGTATTTTAAATACTAATTATAGTGTTTTGTGTGAAGCGATTGAATCACTAAATCATTTGGATTTACAGTTCAATCAAACAATTGATTGCAAAACATTGAAAATCAGTGATAATATGATTGCAATTAATAATAATAATAATAGTCCTAAAAGACGATTACATTTGACTGATAATAAAAATAGCGTTCATTTAAATAAGAGATTTGTTTGTGATTTCAAGGATTGTAACAAAAGTTTTCCATCAAATAGTGGTTTAATTCGACACAAAAGTTGTGTTCATTTGAATGAAAAGCCATTCAAATGTAATGAAGAAAATTGTGGCAAAAGTTTTGGTAATAAATCGCATTTCAATCGACACAAACGCATCCATTCGGGAGAAAAACCATTTCCAGTTGTATGTGATTTCAAAGGTTGTAATAAAAGTTTTAATTGGAAATCACTATTAATTCAACACAAAAATAGTGTTCATTTGAATACAAGATTTGTTTGTGGTTTCAATGGCTGTAAACAAAGTTGTAAATCAAAGACACATTTAAATCGACACAAAAATTGTGTTCATTTGAAAGTAAAGCCATTCAAATGTAATGAAGAAAATTGTGGCAAAAGTTTTGGTGTTAGGGCTCATCTCAATCGACACAAAAGTACACATTCAGGAGAAAAACTATTTGTATGTGATTACACTGATTGTGATCACAGTTTTGCACAAAAATATAATTTATTTCAACACAAAAAATGCGTTCATTTGAATGTAAAGCCATTTAAATGTAATGAAGAAAATTGTGGCAAAAGTTTTGGGCGAAAATCACAACTCATTGAACACAAACTCATCCATTCGGGAGAAAAACCAGTTTTAATTGTATGCGATTTCAATGGTTGTAATAAAAGTTATAAATGGAGATCACTATTAAATCGCCACATCGGGATGTGATGGCGGATTTTCCCCCATAACTTTAGTCACTCACTTGTTGTCACTTTTTAGTCAATACTTTCATTTTTTCCATAATTATTAATGTCATTTTATACTGTAACTGAGTTTTAGGGATTATCCCACCAGTGGAATAATCCCTCTTATCTATTGAACCCTAACTGTACTTTTGGGTATAAGAGAGCGACTGTTGTCTCTGGCATGCAGTTCCTCCCCACCCGTCAAACCGTATACAATAAAATAGTTAATGTCTTACTGCTGTGTCTCGTTCTTCGCGTATCACCGATAGTGATCCGCGATATCAACTCTTGGTCCACACCCAGTGGTGGACAGGGAGATCCGACACACAGTACGACCGGCGTGAAGCCCCAACAGCAGTAGGACCGCCGTGAAGGCCGCAGACGCGCCGTGGGATTGGTCTGAAGACCCCGAGGAACTCAACCACTAATAACAGTTTGTATTGATTATGTCTGTGATCCCCGAGAAGATCACCAAATAACACCCCCAAGAGGTTATCAACATCCAGAGCTTAGCCACCTCTGGAAAACCCGCCATCATATATTTCATTTAAATAAGAAATTTGTTTGTGATTTCAATAATTGTAACAAATGTTTTGTAGATAATTATCAATTAATTCGACACAAAAAATGTGTTCATTTGAAAGAAAAGCCATTTAAATGTGATGAAGAAAATTGTGATAAAATTTTTGCTCGAAAAGAAGCCCTAAATGTACACAAACTGAAACATTCGGGAGAAAAGTAATTTACACGTGATTTTACTGATTGTGAGTAAACTTATAAATTTACATAAAGTTATGATTTTAACACAAAAACACTTTCATTTGACAGATAAATAAGTTTGAAATGTAATAAAAATGTATTATTTTTTTAACTCAATAACAAATTACATTAATCACATGTATTTTATTAATTTATACTGAAATTAATATTTTATTCGGACACCGACTGATACTTTAGACTCTTAAGCACTCAATGGTAGCGAAGATTTCACACAAACGGTTCCCAAGAATTTAAAATGAATGGCATTTTGTAAAACAAATTTCACTATTTTTATAGCTTTTATTCTTTATTATTATGTATTTCAAGTCTTAATGAATTGTATTTTAATTAACAAAACTAAAGCTTATTTTAAAATGTGTTTTAAACTTATTTATAGATTTAATTTTTATAACCGATTATAATATTTGTGAGAATTAATTAATTCTTACATTTAATTATTAAATTCAATTGTTTTGATTCAATATTTTATAAAATGTCATAATTATCTAAAATTTTATTGATTTCTTTATAATAAATTATGAATTTGTAAACATTTTTATATTTTAATGTTTGAAAAGTTATTTGATTTGAAAGAATGAAAGTTTTATTTGACTTATAATTAGTGTTGAAAATAGTGTCCAAAAGAGGGCGACATTTGTCTCATAACTACTGAATGAGTGATGAATGCAATGTTAATAATCACGTGATTCTCACGTTTGCAGTCATTTCCGTTGTCTTTCAATTCAATCAATGCTTTTATAAACACATGTTTTTGTCGACAATTTATCACTTGTTTTAACATTACTTTCATTTTAATCACTATTTTATTAATCAATGTTTGAAACAGTGTTTCATATAATTGTGTTTTAATTGTTGTCAAAGTTTTGCATCAAATTTCACTTTTGGTCTCAAATATTGGCATAATTTGAATGAAATGTAAGTATTGTTTAAATGACAAGTGATTTACTATTGAATGCATTACTTATTCATTACAATTCTATTCATATTTTCATCACTTCAGGGATTAGTTCTCGACATCTGTTTGAATGAAGAGTTAATTAATTGATTCAATAATAATGAATGAAATGAAGAGAAGAAGAGTTGGTCTCAGAAGTGATGCAAATAGAGTCCAAAGAGAGACACAAATGAGAGAATCAATGGACAGATTCGGTGATGATTTGTGTCAACTATTGTTGTCTTATTTGCCGATCAAAGAGCGGTTCCGATACGAAGAGGTGTCCAAACAGTGGCAGAGAGTTATATATGAGACACAAACTGTGTTTATAATAGACAATACATTGAACTGCAATCAACTGAACCGCAATTCAATTGAATTAATACACAAAAAGTGCAAAAATATTAAAACACTTAAATTGAAAAATATATTTTATCGCAGAGTTTGTGGAAGAAGTCTACTAAGAACTGAGGTCTGGATTGGTTTTAGTGAAGTATTAGATGACTTTTTTGATATATTTGGCAAACAATTGAAATCCATTTCAATCAACTATAACTGCAGTTTCAACGAAGAGCTCATTACACAAAATCTACATTTGTGTCCAGATATGACAGAAATTAACTATTTTTTGGATTCATTGTCTGTATTGAGTGGTAATAGAAATGAGATATTGTTTCGCAAATTACAAGAAGTTTGCTTTTATTACAACAATGAAAACAGCGATCAGTTCCGGGGATTTGTGCGAAATTATGGCAAACAATTGAAATCAGTTTCAGTGAAACTCTCCAAAGACTGTACACCGGATTCAATACTAATGAATGGTTTGTCACAAATGACACAATTAGTTGATCTCAACATTATTTGTGACTCCAATGAGATATCTTGCGATCAATTGAAACAATTGTCTCTCAATTGCCCGGAACTCAAGAGTTTAGAGTTTAGTTTGGATTCCGAATCAAATGAATATTACACTCAAATTATTCAAACAATTAATAATTATTTCAAACATTTAAAGCGTTTAGCAATTTACGGAAAAATTCCCGAAGAGTTTGTATTAATGAGTGAATCGTTGAATAAATGCAAACAATTAACACATTTAACGATCGGTCGTAAAATGGATTACATTTACTATCGGATAAGAAACGACGAGTTTTTTACAAATATTGCCAATAATTTTCCGAAACTTCAATATTTATCCATTAATTACAACAAAATAACAACAAATTCGTTGAATTCATTGTCATTATTGCCTAAAATACAGACCATTAGACTCTATGGGAAAAACAATGCAGAATCTGATGTCAAACCTCTCAACGATTGGAAATCAGCGAAAATGATTGGCGTTTATATTAACGACGAAAATATATTTGATAAAAATGATGGCAACTCTTCGGAAACGGACTCTTCAGACGACGATTATTGAGATTCATAACCACTCGATGGCAGACAAGACTTCACACAAACGGTTCCCAAGAATATCAAATGAATGGCATTTTATAAAACAAATTATTCTTATTTTTTGTATTTTTGATTACTTTTAATTCACTACAAGTCATACAATTGTATAACAAAATTGGATTTTATTTAATTTTTATTATTATAGATTAAACAAATTCCGATTTAATAAATTAGATGATTGTTATTACAATAAATTATTATAGACTTAATTAATGATAATATTATAATTAATGCATTACTTTGTAATTATTTGTATAATTTGTGAGTATTGTTAGCGAAGACTAAACACAATCGGTTCCCAAGAATTTCATTTTAAATTCATTTACTTTTTTATGATTATTTCATTTGTAATTGTTTTTAATTTGCGACAAATAACACAATTATTATAACAAAATGGCTTTAAATTAGCATGTTTAAGTTATTTATACACATTTTTACGTTAATCATTTAATAAATTATGAATTAGTGAGAGTTGTATTCAATAGTTTTATTTTTGAAGTGATTTGCTTTGAATTAATGAAAGTTTTATTTGACTTATAATTAGTGTTGAAAATAGTGTCCAAAAGAGGACGACATTTGTGTCATAACTACTGAATCACTGTTTCTCACGTTTGCAGTCATTTCCGTTTGTCTTTCGATTCAATGACTGATTGTTTGAATGCTTTTATAAACACATGTTTTTGTCAACAATTTATCACTTGTTTTAACATTACTTTCATTTCAATCACTATTTTATTAATCAATGTTTGAAACAGTGTTTCATATAATTGTGTTTTAATTGTTGTCAAAGTTTTGCATCAAATTTCACTTTTGATCTCAAATATAGGCATAAATTGTGTGAAATGTAAGTATTATTTGAATGACAAGTGATTTACTATTGAATGCATTACTGATTCATATTGTCATCACTTTAGGGATCAGTTGTCGACAAATGATGTTAGCGTTGGTATGAATGACATGTCTATCAAAAGTGATACAAACAGAAGACAATCAATGGACAGATTCGGTGATGATTTGTGTCAACTATTGTTGTCGTATCTGTCACTTGAAGAGCGGTTCCGATACGAAGAGGTGTCCAAACAGTGGCAAAGAGTGGTATACGAGACCCAAACAGATATCACATTTGAAATCTCAGACAAAATAAGTGACAAAACATTTGCATTAATACTAAAAAAGTGCAAAAATATCACAACTATTGACGACTTTTCATCGAAAGCCTGTTTGGAGGCAATTATCAAAGACTGCCATAAATTGCATTCAATTGGTTGTTATGCTTATAATTGGACCGAAAATACAGCAATAATTGATAAATTTTACGATAAATTTGCGAAACAATTGAAATCCATTGCTTTAGACAATACTTCAGAAAGGGATGTATTGCTTGACTCGAGACTCAAGTGTTGCCAAAATTTAACACAAATTACCACTTATTTTAATTCAATGTCTGTATTGAGTGGTAATGAAAACGAGATATTGTTTAAGAAATTAGAGAAATTCGTGTTTAAAACTGAAAACCAAAACAGCGATAGTTTTGAGACATTTGTGGGAAAATATGGCAAACAATTGAAATCAGTTTATGTATTGACTGACATGAATGACACTAAGAACTCAATACTAGTTAATAGTTTGTCACAAATGACTGAATTAATTGATCTCAAGATTAATATAATGAATGACAATATTTCTTGGGATCAATTGAAACGATTGGGTATTAATTGCCCGAAACTCAAGAGATTATCGATTGACATGAGTTACTTCACACGCAATACGTTTTATCAATCAATTCAAACAATTAATGATTACTTCAATCATTTGAAGCGTTTGGAAATCTGGGGGTATTTTCCCTACGATTTTGTATTAATGAGCAAAACGTTGAATAAATGCAAACAATTAACGCATTTACGACTCAATGCAAACGATGGCTATAATATTAATGATATATTTTTCTCAAATATTGCCAACAATTTCCCGAAACTTCGATATTTGTCTCTTAATTGTAATAATATTACTGAAAATAAGTTAAAGAAATTATCAAAATTACCAAAAATACGAGTCATTAGTTTCCATACGCTTTCTAATGAGACCCAAATTACTGCCAAACCTCTCAACGATTGGAAATCAGCCAAAATTATTGGCGTTTATATTAACGGAAAGAAAATTATTAATTAAAAATTAATTGCAATTATTAT